CACAGAGGGAAACAGAGTCCAGGAGCAATCAGGACCGAGTCTGCCAGTGCCGAGTTCCAGGAAGTGACCCCCGGTGCGAGGGGCGGAGCCGGCAGGTCAGCGCCTGGGGTCTGTGGCCGGCAAGGACAAAGGGCATCTCAGATGTGTTTATTGATACCTGCCCCCGCAGGAAGTGTCCATTCACATCGGACCAGGGAGTCTGGGAAGGGGAAGCCAGGCTCTATTGGAGGAAGCGGGGCTTCCAGCACCTTGGGAAAGCATCCGCACATCCGGGGCTGGAGGCTGTTGGCCAGCACGCCTCCCTGGAGAGGGCCTGGGCAGCTGGCCAGACGCCCCGCCACTGGATGCTTCTCTGGGTGCCTCCTTCCCAGACTCGCCCAGGCCTGTGTGCAGCCCAGAATACCAGCTCCAGCCAGCTTCCCCCAAGGGTCTGGGCTGTGAGGACTTCCTAAGGTCCAGGCTCCAGTCCCTGTGCCCTGCCCTCGGTGCAGGCAGCCCATAGCCTAGACACAGTGGAAGTAGCCTGGGGAGGGCCCACGTCCTTCCTGCAGAGGGAAGCTGGCCTGGCCAGTGAGGGCTCAGCTTGCTGTAAGCTCTCTCCCTCTTTCCCTCCCCGCAACTACCCCTACCCCCCATCCCCCCCCTCGGCCTGTGGTTATTGGGATAACTAGTGGGCCCCACCATAAGAGAGGACCCAGCTGGAGCTACTGTATTTACTTGGACACTGTATTTACTTGAGGAAGGCAACAGGGGCTGGGAGAACTGGGGGCTGGAAGCGGCTTGGAGAGGCCCTCTGACCCTGACTTGACCTCTTAAGAAGGAGGCCACTGCTCTCTTTCTTTTCCCCAGAGGCAGCTGACCTGTCCCCTGCCACCAGCTATTGCTTTCCACAGTGGTGGGTTGGCTCCTGCAGCGGTGGGGGAGGAGCCAATGGCGACTCTAACACAGTTTTACTTTTAGTTTTATGGCATTAAATGCCATAGAATCACAACGAGAGAAGGTTATCCTCTCCTCCCCACCCCGCTGCCTCTTTTTAAACAAAGGACAGCAGGTTAAGGCTCAGAGCCTCCCCCAGGCTATAGTTTCCAGCTAGAACTGAATACCCTTATTTGGTTTTCTTGTTGTGTACTTGCATGATTTGGGTCTATTTATGGCAATGATACTGGCTTTCCATTGGTGGCAGTGGTAGAAAGTTTCCTTTTAAAATCTATTTACTTGGGGCGCCTGGGTGGCTCAGTGGGTTAAAGCCTCTGCCTTCGGCTCAGGTCATGATCCCAGGGTCCTGGGATCGAGCCCCGCATCGGGCTCTCTGCTCAGCAGGGGGCCTGCTTCCCCAAAACTAAACTAAACTAAACTTAAATCTATTTACTTAAGTAAAAGAATAAGTCCATTTGAGGGGAAAAGTAAGTACATATGATAGGCAGATGCTGCTGCCCAAGTCCCAAAGGTAAGGAGGAGAAGGCCGAAGCTCAGGGGGCACTGTCTCGGAGCTGCCCTTCCGAAGGGGGCAGTCAGGCTCCCTGACACCCCGTCCCCCAGGCTGCCAGTGGCTCAGAGAGAATGTGTGTTCGGGGTCCCACAGGGAGTGAAGAGCTTCTGCTGTTCAACCCCAGGTGCCCAGGGGAAAGAGCATCCCAGGCAGAACAGTTAAAGGACGGGGTCCCCTCAGGCCCGAGCACAGAAGGTTCATTACTGTGTGACGCAGGTACCTAACCGCCACGGCCTTTCCCTCTGGGAACGGGCAGCCCAAGCAACCCGGTGAAACGTAAAGATCAGTTGCGAGAAGGATCCCAGTTAGACGGGCCAACCCTGAGCTGGGCTTGCCTTGAAGTTGCCAAGTCCCCCATCTCTAGCGAACCTGAAGAGAATCTACAGGTGCCTCCATGGACATTTCACACTTTAAGTGCCTGTAGGTGCCGACAGGTGGCGGGACCTCCAGGATTCTTGGAGTCTAATCCTAGGGAAACCAGTCCTGCCTTCCCACACCCTGGGCTCTCCAGCCAGCAGGGAACTTAGATGGAGGGCTACAGAAAGCCAAGCAACAGCTAAACACCCCATGTCATCCACCAGGGGCCAGGCACGGTGCTGAGGCTATGCACGGACTCTTCCTCGCAGCCTGCGGGGTGGGATACCATCATCATCATCATTGTAGACATGAAGGAACTTGCTCAGAGAGGCTGAGTGAGAGCCCACAGCTGTAAATGGCCATCTTGGGATTGGAACCTAGATCCCACTGACTCCCGAGACCAAACTGTGGGGCTCACAACCCCAGGTCCCTTGCTTCACCATTCCCATTACAGGCTGCCATCACGGAGGGTTTGGGCCTGCCAGTGCTGCTGCTAAGGGGACCCGAGGGTCCCTTAGAAAGCTGCACTGTCAATCCCTGGGTGCCTCAGTGAAGGCAGGCTGCTCCTAGATGAGTAGCAGGCCCAAACCTGGGGGCCTCAAGCCCACTATGTGGGGTTTAGTCCGTGCTGGTTGAAGGTGTCACTGCCCATAGGCCAGATGGGCCCCGAGGAGCCCTTCCTTCCTTCCTTCCCTTGATCTGCTGGAGCCTAAGACCCATATGTGGCCTATAGGGACACAGGCCTATATAGGGATAGGTGGCCTCTTTCAGCTTCCCAAAACTGTCCCTCCCACCTGAGCCACCCGTTCCAGGGAGCTCAGGCCCTGGCAGGGAATCTTTACCCAGCTCGTGGGGGAAACAGACCAACCCAGCTGGGCGAGTACTGGGCTGGAATTGCTGGGCATCCCTGGCATTGGGTAGTTGCCCCCTCATGCCCATGGGCCGGCCTCAAGGGCCATCCCAGGGGTTCTGGACAGAAGATAGTGGATTTCCTAAGAGCTGACCTTTGCTGTGTCAGAGGCTTGCGCCATTGGGTTACCCAACAAGGCCCTGCAGTGTGTTTACCATGAAGGGGAAGATGGGGTCTCCCCTCCCTAGCCTCAGTGCCCCTCCATGCACTAGTCCCAGAGTCCAGGCCGTCCAGGTCCGCCTATAAGGCCATGGTAAGGACAAGAACTTTCTCAGGTCCTATAGGAGTGCATATAGGGGGAGAAGAGTCTGCCACCCTTGGGGTCTGCTGGGGCCTGGCTCTCTAGGTGCTTCCCTCCACCATCTCACCCTGAGTTAAGCCCAGGAAAGGGGTATCCTGAGTACCTGCTCACCAGTACCTGAGCAATCCTGCCCAAGGCAACCCAGCCCCTCCGCAAGCCAGTGAGTAAGTCTTTCCAAGTCACAGGTCAATCCTCCTGACCGTGCCTGCGACGAGGCTTCCCGTCTGTTAGCCCCTCGTTACACACTGTCCTGGGTAGTGTGAATGTCCATTTGCGTGCCCATATGACATTTAAGAATATTGAGTCCCAGAGTAGTTCAAAGCTGAGAGACCCCCTTCAGTGGAAACCTACGTCGAGCTCTAATCATCTCCTTGAACTGGGCCTGAAGCTGTCCCTTTGGAGTGCCAAGCTGTCTGCGTAGCCGAGACCTCTAGGGGAAGTCTTCTGGCTAAGTAGATGATACGGGGTGAAGGCTGTGACCCTCTCTGCTACCCGCTACTCTGCAAGGGGGCCCCCTACACCTTAGTTCTCCCAAACTGGGGCTGCTGAACAGAAAGCAGCCTGGCCAGGGGAGGGTGGGGAAGGGGGAAGCAAGCAGAAGGGCCTCTAGGGCTCAATTGAGAAGAAAGGGGCAAGCAAGGCAGGTGCTCTGTGGTGGGAACGGTGCTGGCCTTCCTGCCTGCCACCATCCCCTGCCCCTTCTGGAAGCCATGTCCTGCCATGAAGCATGGCCTTGGTGCCAAGACGGCCTCCCCCATACTGGGAGAATCCAGGCCAGGGCTAGGCAGCTCCGTGTGTGGGGTGCAGGCTCCCTCCTCCTTATCAGAGGCCAGACTCCCAGCACTGAGATAACATGGCCACCTGCAGGCACCCAGTTTGTTTCTGAGGTATATTCCAGGTTCTCTCAACTCCCTCATTTTGCTCCTGCCCTGTACTCCCCACCTTTTCTTCTTCTGACCCGCCCACTGGGTCCTTGTGCCAACCTTCCCCCCCTGCCTCCCTGACTCCTCTCATGACTCAAGCTTTCCCTGGGCTCTCCCCACAATGTTTGGTTCACAGGCTGCCTGCCGGCCCCCTCTTCCCCCGCTGCTCCAGCATTGGGCACGCAAGAACCAGGGGCCAGGCTATGGGCATCCCAACCTCTGCCCTCCCCCCGGCTCCCCACCCTGCTCTGGGTGCCCCCGTGTCCTGGCCAGGATTCCACTTGGGGTTGTGACAGTCTGGGCTTTGGGAGGAAAAAGTGGCACCTCCCTGGTTTTAGGGCCTCTGAGCATGAGCTGAGGAAACCGAGACCAGAAGGATGCCATAAGTAATCCCGGGACCCAGATGGGGCTCATGGCCAAGCCAGGAAAGTGGTCCACAGTCTCTCTAGGACTCCACACCGGTCCTTGAGCTGCAGCCTTGCTAGGATTTCGGGAATCAGCTGACCACTCAACTCCCAGCAACCAGACCCTCAGGATAAGGACCAGATCGGCGCCCATATCTGGGAACGGACCCATGTCCCCCAAGGTTCAACCAGGAGTGTCGCCAGGGAGCAGGACACAGAGTACCACACCTCCTGCACCCAGTGAGATCCTGGAGCCCTGAGGCAGGACGGGCAGGGAGATGCCACAGGTGTCAGAAGCCTGTAGGGTGCACAAGAAAATGCTGGGGCTGTCCCCACGGTGGCCACCTCCCGTCCTGCAGGAGCTAGTCCTGCTCGGGGCTCTCTGTGCACAGAAGCGTTGGCAGCCAGCAGCTCGGGCAGCTGTCAGAACATGCAGATGTGCCACCGCCCGGCCAAGGCACTTGGCAGACAGCTGCTGGCCCCTGCAAGTCGGTCCCAGCAAGTAGGAGACACGGCAGGCAGAGGGGGGCGTCCCGCTCCCCCTGCGCCCCCCTCCCTAGCGGTGTTGTCCCAATGCTCCTCCCCAGCGCCTGGGTAGGACTCCTGCCGACCTTACCTCGGGAGGCAGCCAGGAAGAGAGCAAGGAGCACAGGCCCGCAGCGCGGGCCGCTGGCCTCCGGGACCAGGGGGACGCCCATATCACTGCCGGGCGGCGTCTGGAGCCCCGGGGCCCGGAGTGGGACCGCGGGCTTGAAGGGAGAGCGCCTGGTGCTCCGGGAGCGGCGGCACACAGCTGGCCGGAAAAGCTCCGGCTGAGTGAGTGCAGAGTGAGGGCCCTGGGTGCCGGAGCCGCGGCTCCAGGGCCCACCCCCCTCTCCCACAGCGCCCCCGGGGGGCCGTGGGGGGAACTGCCTCACCGAAGGCCTGTGGGAGGGGCTTCCCGCTGACTCACAGGGCGCCCGGCCCTCTAGGTGGAGGCGACAGCCCAAGCGTTCCTATCAGCCCCGCCTCTTTGCTACTCCCTTCGGTGCCTCTCTGGAAAGGATTAGTACAGCCCTGCCTCCTGAAAAGGGTATTGCTTCTAACTTAGGGGCTACACAAGCACTGCAGGTTGTGTCTGACCTCACCCACCGGCCTTTGAGTTGTCTGGGGGCAAGCCCCTGTCCTCAACATCCTCCAGCCGAGAGCAGGGCCTGGTAGGTAGGAGGCACTCCCGGCGGTGGAATGAGTGAGTGAATGAATGAAATCTAACTTTTGTAAAGGGCCAGGCAGGTTGGAGCCCTCTCGACAGTAGATCCCAGAACCTGCAAAACCCTTGTGTGTGCACCTGTGTGTGCACACGCAGCACACATACACACACACACACACACACAGGGCACAGTTGCAGGGATACACACCAGGGGTGGCCCATCCCTACAGACGCATGCGTGTATGCATCTGGTAGATATCCCATAGGAAATCCTTAGGGCCCCTCCCCAGCTAGGCTCCAGCACCACTCCCTACTTTGCACCCTCTCTAGGTCCCTGTGCCCTGGGTGTCCACACCCAGGTCCACACCCAGGTGCACTCCTCCCCAGTCCTCTACTCATGCACCCCCATCCAGCACTGTTGCCGCTGGTGGCATCTCCCACCTCCCCTCTCCCTCAGGGCTCAACTCAAGTCCTTTCCCTTCACCAAGGGTCCTGAGCTTTCCCAGCGGGCACCCCTCCAGGCCTCGCTGTTCACACTCTCTTCTACTGTCTCACCCAAGTTGCCAACCGGCTGACCTGCACCTGGGCGTACCTGCCCGCCTGAGCTAGACTGTGACCTCTGGGGTTCCAGAGCCTCTGCCTGAGGTTTCTGAATCCCTGGCACAAAAGTGGACACAGAGAAGGTGTTGTGCGCTTTTATCTGAATGGACAAACTGGTGAGAAGTGGCTTCCTAAATGGAGTGGGGGTGGCAGTGGCTAGGGCTAGGGGTCAGGGGAAGTAGGGGCACAGCCATTGTACCATTGACCCCAGCCTTGCTGAAGCTTCCAGGGGCTTTACTGGCCCACTAGAGGTCTTGAGTTGACGTGACCCCAGGCTGAAGGACAGAGGACAGCCAGAGTCCATCTGCGTTGGGAATCAGGGTGGCGGAAGTGAGAGGAAGCCAGGAATTCTGGGTGCGCCATGGGTGACTTCATCCTAGTCAGAAACTCTGGATTCTCTGAGTCCTCACTCTGGGACCGGGAAGCCCATACAGAGGAAAGGTGGGTATCGTGCTTTTATTACAAGATGACGTTGACCCGGGCCCAGTCCCCCTGAAATGGGCCAGAGACTGTCAAGACATAACTGGGTCCTTCATCATGATCCTGACCTTGTGACCCCACTTTGGAAAACAGCCCAGGGGCTTTTCTTCTGGCAGAGTGTGAGTTCTTCCGCCCAAAGGATCCTGGGCCCTCTTCCATCCCTGGCCAGCCTCTGACAGAGGTGAGATGGGGGTCACTGAAAGGTGAGACCCTACAACACCCAACCTCACCTAGACCACCCTTGAAACCAGACTCCCGCGGCCCCAGGACCTAGAAGGTTATAAAGAGAGCATGGGATCATCAGGAGGGAAGCCACTGCCTAGCCATCCCCTCCTGCAGTGGCTAGAGCGCCTGAGCGGGGCCTGGCTGTGCTCCCTCCACTTCTTTCCTCCCTGCCACGCTGCCCACTAGACCCTCCTGGGTTTGCCTCAGAGAGAGACACAGAGGCATTGCCCAAAGTGCAGGCATGGTTCCGAAACCTCAAACACGGTTTCTTCAGGGCCAGGGCAGGAAGGACTTAGCTGAGAGGGCCTTTGGGGCACTGACTTCCTCCTCAATCTAAAGGCCACAGAAAGTCAGACCCCCCTTTCCGTCCCATGCTCAGGCCCAGTCGCAGAGAGAAGATGCTCTGTGGGGCTCCTTCTCCCAGCCCCTGCAACCTGCGTGATGGTGAGACCTACTTCTGGGAGTCTGGGGAAGTGGGACAGCCCAGCACCATGACCCCCATCTGTGAGGCTGGAAGGAAACCCCTTCCCTGCAAGATGACACTCTTAGGCTCTCCTGGCATCTCAGCAGTCTCAGGAGGACTCCACGTGGGGCTCCTGGTGGCTGATGAGCGCTCACGGCTGCACCCAGGACCATGAGGAGCCATGAAATGAACACAAGGGTCTTCCTAGATGGTCATCTTTTCTCCCACACTTGAGGCATCCACCCCTATGGACATAAAATTCACATACAATATTCTACTAGTCTTGAGTGGATATCCCAGCACCTCGGTATTTTTTACACTGTGAAGTGCTCCCCATGATAAGGCTAGTCACCGTCCATCAGCATACAACATTATTGTACTCTCATTGCCTCCAGCCCCTATGTTGTATGTCTCATCCCCGTGGCTAATTTATTTTGTAAGTGGAAGTTCACACCCCTTAATCCCCTTTACCTATTTTACCAGCCCCCCACCCCTTCCGACTCTGGAAACCAGCAGTTTGTTCCTATATCTAGAAGTCCGTTTCTGTTTCATTTTGTTTGGTTTGTTCATTTGTGTTTTTCATTTTACATGTAAATGAGGTCATACGGCATTTTCCTTCTTTATCTGACTTCTTTCACTTAGCATGATAACTCTCTAGATCCATCCATGGGTTCACAATGGCAAGAGTTCATTTTTTATGCTGAGTCATGTTCCGTTGTATATACACACCACATCTTCTTTATCCGTTCATCTGTCAGTGGACACTGGGGCTGCTTCCGTAATTTGGCTACTGTAAACAACGCTGCCATAAACATCTAGGTGCATGTATCCCTTGGAATTAGTTTTTCTGCATTTTGGGGGTAACTACCCAGTAGTGTGATTACTGGATCATAGGATAGTTCTATTTTTAACTCTTTGGGGAACCTCCATACTACTTTCCACAGTTTGCATTCCCACCAACAATGACAATGGTTCCTTTTTCTCCACATCCTCACCAACACTTGTTTCGTGTGTGTGTGTGTGTGTGTGTGTGTGTGATTTTAGCCACTCTGACAGGTGTGAGCTGGTATCTCACTGTGATTTTGATTTGCATTTCCCTGATGATGAGTGATGTCGAGCATCTCTCCATGTGTCTTGCTTAGCTATCTGGATGTCTTCTTTGGAGAAATGTCTGTTCACTTCTTCTGCCCATTTTTTTTTAAATATTTTATTTTATTTATTTGACAGAGAGATCACAAGGAGGCAGAGAGGCAGGCGGAGAGAGAGGGGGTAGCAGGCTCTCTGCTGAGCAGAGAGCCTCATGTGGGACTCGATCCCAGGACCCTGAGAGCACTACCTGAGCCGAAGGTAGAGGCTTAACCCACTGAGCCACCCAGGCACCCCTTCTGCCCATTTTTTAATTGGATTATTTGTTTTGGGAGTGTTGAATTGTTTAAGTTCTATATGCATTTTGGATACTAACCTTTTATTGGATACATCATTTGCAGATATCTTCTCCCATCCTGTAGGTTGCCTTTTAGTCTTGTTAATTGTTTCCTTCCCTGTACAGAAGCTTTTTCTTTTGACATAGTCCCAATAGTTTATTTTTTGTTTCATTTTTCTTGCCTCAGGAGATGTATCTAGAAAAATGTTGCTGCAGCTGATGTCAGAGACATTATTCTCTGTGCTCTCTTCTAGGATTTTTATGGTTTCAGGTCTCACATTTAGGTCTTTCATCCATTTTGAATTTATTTTTGTGTGTGGTGTAAGAAAGTGGTCCAGTTTCATTCTTTTGCATGTTGCTCTCCAGTTTTCCAACATCATTTGTCGAGGAGACTGTCTTTTCCCCACTGAATATTCTTTCCTGCTTCGTTGAAGACTAATTGACCGTATAATTGTAAGTTTATTTCTGGGACTCCGATTCTGTTCCACTGATCTAGAACACTTGCGATTTTTTGTGTCCTTTTGATACAAGCCATACTGACAAGTATAAGGTGATATCTCATTGTGGTTTTGATTTTGCTTTTCCCTGATGATGAGTGATGCTGACCATCTTCTCATGTGCCCATTGGCCATCTGGATGTCTTTTCGGAAAAATGTCTATTCAAGCCCTCTGCACATTTTTTATTCGGGCTATTTGTTGGTTGCTAAGTTGTGTAAGTTTTTTATATATTTTAGATATTAATCCCTTATTGGATGTATGATTTGCAATTTCCTTCTCCCATTAGTAGTTGTGTTTTTGTTTTGTTGATGGGTTGCATGCAAAAGCTTTTTGTTTGCTATGGTCCCATTTGTTTATTTTAGCCTTTGCTGCCCTTGCCTCAAGAGAGCGAGCCAAAAAAATATATTGCTATGACTGCTGTCAAAGAGCTCACTGCTTATGTTTTCTTCTAGGAATTTTGTGGTTTTAGGTCTTACATTCAAGTCTTTGATCCACTTTAAATTTGTTCCCATTGTATATTCTTGCTTCCTTTATTATAGATTAACTGACCATATATGCCTAAGGTTTTTTTCTGGACTTTCTGTTTTATTCTGTTCATCTGTATGTCTGTTTTTGTGTCACTATTACGATTATTGTAGCTTGGTAATACAGTTTGAAACCATGGGTCCCAATCTTGCCAATTTGGACCTTTTTCAAGACTGCTTTAGCATTGGGGGGTCTTTTGTGGTTTCATACAAATTTTAGGATTCTTTTTTCTAGTACTGTGAAAAATGCCTTTGGTATTTTGATAGAGATTGCATTGAATCTGTAGATTCCTTCGGATATTATGGACATTTTAACAATATTCTTACAATCCATGAACA